ACCATTGGGGACAACTGGTGCATTTGGGGACAAAAGTCGAGTCCCCGTTTGGTTTAAATGCCATTGGTGGGTTGGGGGTTGGATTTAGGACCAAGGTGAGTTTAGGACCAAGGTGAGTTTCGGACCAAGGTGAGTTTAGGTTAGTTTCAGGGTCAGCCAGGTTACAAGGTTGCCAACTAGGCCCCTCCGAAATACGGGACAGTTTCTCCAGGGGCGGGGGCTTAATGACCTAAAATGTCAATTATCACCACACAATATTACGTATAGGTATTTCCCTAACATTTAGGTTGGAATCCCCATAAACACGATTTAATCTTGTTTCTGTTATTTCCATGTAACATGATGGATTACAAAGAAGGATTTAACAAAACATTATTTTTTTCTTTCTTTACAACTTTTCAACTGCTGATGGCCTCAGTAAACAGAAGGATTAAAAAATTTAAATACAAACATATATGCTGTTGTGAACAGATTGATACAATAATAAAGACACTTAACTTTGAGTCTTGTAGTTTAAATCTAATGACGGATGGATAGACAGGTTTATTGATTGACTATTGTTTAACTAGGAAAATCCCAAATATTAATTTCTAGTGTTGTAGTACTTGAAACCGGTCTTGGTCTTAAGACTGGTCTCAAAACCACTTTTTGATGGTCTTGGTCTTGTCTCGGACTCAACAACATTTGTACTTGGTCTTGTCCCAATCTCGGACATTGAGGATTCAGAATTTTTTTTCAAGACCAATCAAGACCACACCTGTGGAAATATCACTAAATAGCCAGATTATTGTCCAGTTAATTTGTTAACAATCTTGCTTTAATTGGATTTAAAATGTAGCTACTGATTCAAATCCAAACCTGACTTATTTTCTATTTAAGCATTTTTGTTAGTGGCTGTCACCCATCCCCACTCTTTTCACTCGCACGCAGCACTCCAGGAAAGTAAGCAGTGGTTCTCTGGGACTGGTAAAAGATGTCTTCAAAATTTTTAAGTAAAAAGTTTGGCTACATTACTCATAAATAATATCATTGTAAAACAACAACAGGAGAAAGTATACAGCAACTTGTACATTCAGCAGTGCTTCCCTTTCAGAGACGATGGGGACGTTAAACTTTCATTGTCACTTACGTTAATAATCTGCCTCTGTAGCAAAATTCTGTCCTCTGCCCTCACACAAAGATTTGGTCAATATTAGCCCTACAGTGGGGGAAAAAGGTATTTAGTCAGCACCAATTGTTCAAGTTCTCCCACTTAAAAAGATGAGAGGCCTGTACTTGAGAGCCATTTTATTCAAAATACAATAAATAAATAAATAAATAAATAAATAAATAAATAAATAAATAAATAAATAAATAAAGACATGCTAAAAATGTATTAAAA